CACGCTGTCGACCCAAGAATGCTTGCCTCCATGTAATTAACTCCTATCTATGTACAGACTGAGGTACCACTAAAATAACTTTTTTTCTTTTTTCAGTGTCTGTTACGGTTATGTTTCTGAGAGAGCGAGAAACAAAAAAAATTATTCTCAGAATTCAATGTGATTTTTTTTTCCCTCCCCATACTTTGAAGTATCCCATGACTAATACGGTGATTTGGATAGCATATGAAATGGAACAAACCACTTTAGAAGGGGTTTTACATGCACTGCTAAAGCTGGTCCCATTGCGTTTTGGACACACGTCAGCTGCTTATTTCTGTCCTGATAAAAAGAAGCAAAATGTTAAAACTAAAGAAAAGACAAGAGTTATGGTAAAACTCATTTGTTACAAAAGGGAATTGATCTACAGCACTGCAAATAAACACACTGATGTAGTCCTTCACAAAAAACTCAAAAAAAGGTATATAAATAACAGCATAAGTTGGAACAGATGGCTGCTATGCAAAGAAAACATCTGCAAACCATTGGATTATAAACCTACAGAATAACTACAGTGTAATTACATGAGAGGCTCTCTCTTGGGCACCGTGCAATTAGAGTGGAGAGGGATGAGGAGAAAGTGGAACATCTACAGCAATCTATCTAACTTCATTTCACCGGAGTGATTCTGCCTGAGGGTATGCACAAGTCATAATACATTTGACAAATAGTCTCCTGCTAAAAACAGGCATTTGCGAAGAAGTGGCCTTCAGCGCTGGTATACACAGCTGAGTATGCACTGAGCAAATAAGCCTCCCACTCAGCCAGGGAAAAGATACAGAGAGGCTTCAAAAAGATTAGGAGAAATCTTGGGTGAAAAGTAAAGATGACTCACGGTTGATTTTGCAAGTGCAGGACAATGCAAGCTGGATGGTTGAGAGGAGCAACAGAGCCGTGGGGCTGTTAGCCATACACAAATCGATGCTCTTCTCATGTGTCTCACTTTGCATCGCTCTAGAAATTGAATGTTTCTTTATTTGTGAGAATGAAAAAGGATTTTTGTTATTTTCTGCTTCCTCTTTGAGGATCCCATCATGATTGTACTAATCGAGAATCATATATTCTTTAAAATGCTGAGGTATTTTACTGACATAAAAAAGTCTGTTCTATATAATTCTGTATATAATGACAGAAAATTCACTTAGGAGCATAATACATTCTTCCCAATAGGGATAGAAATGTAAAACAATTTAAAACTATAGATGAAAGAAATATTAATCCAGAGAACAAAATCAGCATATATTTTGTCCATCGACTCTAATAGATTTAAGGTCAAACACTAAAAGAGCTTTTATTACCAGTACTAATTACATCAAACCCAAGAACTCTGACTACATAAACCATAAAAAGAGCATGTAATTCAATATGCTTTGTTTTTAAACTACTAAAACTCGATTAGATTTATACGACTTCATGATAATAAGAACCATCTTGTAATTTAAATATGACTCATCTCGTTTTTTTTATTTATACTACTTAGAAAATGATTAGTGATTAATAAAAACATAGTCGATTTTGCTGCATAGCTGTGTTTCGTATTGTTTTTTGTTTTTTTTATGAGCGTTTTCATATATGTGATTGTTTAGTTTCAAACTATAAGCAAAGCTTTAATTAAAATTCACAGCATTTGTGAATTTAAATTATTTGTGGTGCTGAATCATTTTGTAAGACATGCATCAATCAACCATGAGTGTGGTCAATCAACTCCAGCTGGTTTCGGCTAACCCTTTCTTTTCATTCTTCCCTAATAACCTCGTTTTAGACTTAAGAACAGCTGCACATAAACTCATATCTATGGCCAACACAGAGCTGTCTTTTTAGACAGAAAAAAAAGATGCAGATGAAGAGTTTATGCAGTTGTACACAGGAAACAATGTATTTACATACTTAGTCCATTTTAATTAGTGTTATGTACACTTCTTCGTTTGTGCCTTCTTTTAGACTGCTATGTATGTTCAATCAGTTGTAATGTAGAGGAAAAACAATAAAGATAATGAACATCTGTGATCATCACATGCTTTTAGGTAATGTACTTTTAACCACTTGCTATAACAAGAGGACAGCTCTAAAATTAAACTTCCCACATAAGTGAAGAAGAACCAAAATGCACAAGCATCATTATACATGTGTTCATGTGTAATACCAAGAGTACAGTTGCAATAATGTGTCACTTTACATTTTAGTCAGCGGAGTTTCTTTAGTAATGAGAGTGCTATATGCTTTTCTGTGGCCTTTGTACTTGCTGTATTATAGAAACCAGAACAGGCCATTATGTAAAACTCTCAAATCCCCTTATGTAGCCACAAACTTAACGTGAGCATAATTTTAGAGTGCTTATTGAAGTTTTTTACAGTTTGAAACATTACAAACATGATCATATTTTTTGTTATTTTGCTGTAGCAAACTAAGAACTGGAAAAACAATTAGATATTGTTTTCATTTTGCTTTGGAAATAAGAGTATGACATTCATATCTATTAAGCCCAATTTCGTTTTAAGGCCTTACAAACCTAGCACAACAAGCTGTCTTAAAAAGTCACATTATTAATACATATAGCTCATCTGTGTGATTCCAATTGAGAATAAATGCAGCTGTTTTATGAAGGCGGCAGCAGTTTGTTAGACAGCATTAGAGACTAGTCAGCATCATAATGAAAGGGTAAAACCTCACTAGACAGGTATATATATATATATATATATATATATATATATATATATATATATATATATATATATATATATATATATATATATCACAGTTTGAGCAGTTAAAGAGCTCCATAAAAATTATTGTCACAAAATGGAATGAGTGCAGCACAGCTGCAAACCTATAAAGCATGGATCCCCACCTACACTAACAGGCACAGCAATAATCAAACTGATGGTGGAGCTGAAAACATCCACAGACTCAGGAATAAGAATCTGTAGATAAGTCACTGACAAGGTTTTTCAATTGTTTAAGTCAAAATAGGTGCTTCCTGTAATTTGCTGCAAATCATGGACGAGGCAACAATTTGTGTCCAATAACCTGCCCAAATAAATCTGAAATTAACTTTTTAGGGGGTTTTTTTTATAAGTAAAAACACTACTTGAAGTGAATTAGCATGCTGTCACGAATAATTGTGAGAATGCTTTGAGGAGCTTTTTTGTTCTAGTACAGACAACAAAGCTGATCAAAGATAATGGGAAAGGGATCAAGAAGAGCGAGGTTCATCCTAGAACAAAAACTGCGAGTTCATTTTGAAAAAGAGATCTAACAGAAGCTTCTGTATAATGTTTTAGATGGAATCATACTTATTGGAGTGGTCGAAATATAACTACAGATTTAGGCAAAGGCTTGAAATGTGATTTTGACATACAGGCCACACTTTTGAGATTCATGACAGTAAAAAACCTAAAAATGATTAAAAATTTTAACTACTTATGCTACATGTTGGTCTATCACAAACATACCCAGAAAATACATTCTAGTGGTTATTTCTGGACAAAACATGACAATGTTTAAAACTTTTGCAAGACATTGTTACACTGTCTTTGACTGCTTTATATGAATCTGTCTTAATTGGTCCATATTAATAAGCCCGAGTCAACAAGTTAAACATACAGACAGTGGAAATTAATTTGCCAAGTACTAATAGAAACATTTTAGATTTCAGCCCAGGTAAGGTTAGGTTACATTTACATTAAAGGATTTGGGGTTGGTATTATAGATGGTTAGTAATTTATATACGGTAAATAATTTCATCAAAGTTTGTATAGCAGTTAAAAACCTCTTCAGGGTGAGTGTTTGTGTTTGAACAACAGAGTTCAACTAAATGTATACAGGCAGGTGACAGCGTGAATGAATAGGGGACAATGCCAATCCAAATATTGCACTGTGTTTTAATGTTTCACATGTATCACCTTGTCATCAGCAAATGTTAAATACTGGCCTGCTTTCCCCCAGGTTCTAAGGCAAGCAAACACTATGAATGACTGTGGATGTATATCTGCATGTTACTGATGGTTGTTTGCAAAGCAGATAATCATAAACCTAAGAAAAACTAATTTCACAACCATAACCAATTCAAAAAAATGAAAACAAATATTATTTTCTGCCTTTATAATTGTACCGTGTGTTTACATAAACCACCTCTATTTAGCTTATGTCGAGTTTCTTGTGTAAACACTGCTTATTGCTGTCTTGAAAGTGTAACAAATCCAAAAGCTGACTTTAAAAAGAAAAAAAAATATATATATATATATTTTTTTTTATTTTACTTACTAAATGCTGTTGGGCGTTTAAATTGTTCCAGTAAAGAGTCCAACTGTTGCGCTAAATCAGTCTTTTACCCGAAAAGGTGTTACAATTTGCTATTTAATTGCACTGAATTTAACAAAGGAACCGAAAACAATCCAAGTGATACTTCTTATATGAATTAGATGCATAAAATATTGGTAACCGTTTATTGGGTTGTGCGCAAAGCATTGCCATTTTTGGAACGTTCGTGGCGAATAAGGGGTCAAATTTACGCACTTGGGATGAGATAAGTTTTGATCATTCAGGAAAGTTTGCAGAGATAAATAATATCACTTAATGTGCAATCACGCACACGTTTCAATAGGTTGTTCTGTTTGTTCAGATTAGCAGCGCCAGAAAAGTGGTGCGCTCTAACTCTGCTCACGCAGTCCAACAGTGATATCCTATATTAAATATAACTGCAGGTTAGAGAAAATGCATGCATCTCATCTGAGCAGGTGTCAATGACAGCAAAGATGCAAAATAAAAGTTAAATAACAGCAGCCTCCTGCAGCTTGTGGACTCTTTACAGTATTATCCATAAGGAAAGAGAAGTGCATGTGCATATGCCTAACCTAAAACCCTATGCTTCTTTACCCAACCAAGTATAACCAATGCGCGTCTGAGCGCCTGCACTTGAAACTGACACATCTCAGTAGACTTTAGCGGAGAGAATTGTTTACCTTGTTGGAATGGTAATAGTCCAGCCCGGAATCGGTCGGTAACGTACAGGAACCCACGCTGGAAGGGGGAGCTGGATAAAATCTGACGTCCATCTCAAAGAGCGCAAGACTGACGGCATGAAAGCGTAGCTCCAAAAGAGAGAAAAAAAAAGTGTGCAATGTCTGTCTCTCCTGCACACGCTCACACACACGCACACATAAACGACCTCTCACCCTTCTGTGTTGTGTGTCAAAGCGAGCAAAAAGTACGACAAGAGGCAGAAAAAGAGTCTCTCCTGACGCGCAGGTTCTATATCCGTCCTACAGAGGCTTCAGTACTATGTGGACATTCGGTGCAATGATGCTGTGCGCTATCTAACATCTCTATTAAGTTGAGTTGGGGAAAGGGGTGAATTTATGGGAGCGTCCCTGCCACAGTGGTCTGAGGAACTACGCAGCGGGACAGTTGGTGAAGTTGTTGGAGCCAAACCGAGCCGCACTGAGCTGCAGGTAAAAATGCAGGAATGAAATAGTCAGCGGTGGCCCCTAAAGCGCCAGTTCTCCCTTCCAGCTTTCCCGACGCTCTGAAGGTTTGTCATGTGGGAGCGCTCTAATGCTTTTACGCATCCATTGGTTCCCATCCAGTCAGTCGCTGCTCGGCTGCGACCTCTACCGGTCAAATCTAAGAATAAGCGTGAGACGGATGAGCGGAGTGACGGGATGCTGAGGATGAACAATAAACTATTTTTTCTTCTATGTTTTGTCAAGATACTTTTTCTAAACTAGTGAATAACATAACTTTTCTCAAGTTCATCAGAGCTGAAAAACAGTGGAAAAAAATGTGACTACTCCTACAGCAATTACCGAATGAAATCTATCTATTAAACACAAAAATAAACATTAAAAACAAATTGTTTAATGCATCCTCCATTCTATTCACTCAAAATGTAAAAATCTGTCTAAATTCATACATTGATAAATAATCAGGCTGAAGTAATAATTGATTCTAGGACAGCTAACTACTGCAGCACTGCCTGGCAATGTCCTGCTTCCATTAGGAAAACAATTCAGGACCATTGCATCAGAAACATAGGTGGGTAGTAACTGGTTGGATATACTCAGTTACATTTACTTGAGAAACTTTAAAAAAAACAACAAAAAAAACAAGATACTTTTAGGAGTAGTTTTAAGGCACTTTACTTTTTACTTTTACATAAGTAGAAATATAATATAGTATGACGAGTTGTAGGGCTACTCAGTGGAGCAGTGGGTAGCACTGCTGCCTTGCAGCAAGAAGGTTCTGGTTTTGTATTCTGGCCCGGGGTCTTTCTGCATGGAGTTTGCATGTTCTCCCTGAGCATGCATAGGTTCTCTCCGGGTACTCTGTTTGTCTCTGTGTTGCCCTGCGATGGACTGGCGACCTGTCCAGGGTGTACCCCACCTCTCGCCCAATGACTGCTGGAGATAGGCACCAGCACCCCTTGGGATAAGCGCGTAAGAAAATGGATGGATGGATGGATGGATGGATGGATGGATGGATGGATGGATGGATGGATGGATGGATGGATGGATGGATGGATGGATGGATGGATGGATNGGATGGATGGATGGATGGATGGATGGATGGATGGATGGATGGATGACCAGTGGTACTTGAGTAAAATATCTGGCTGCTCCATCCATTGTGAGGAATTTCACTTAATGAAAACGGGTTTGTTTTAAAATGAATCTGCACCATTAAGAGAAACACTCTCTTTTGTACACAAGGCTTATTTTTTAGATGTTATTTTCATTATGCTGAGTTTGTCAGTATAAACTGCATACTATAATTGAACCTATTCTTACCATATTATAACAGTTTATTTTCAAATCTTATAAATAAAAAAGAGTGTTCATTCTAATTTGTTTATTGTGTTTGTAATCACTGTATGTTACATTTTTAGCTTATTCTTTGAAATATCACAATTTGTATTTCACATAATATTTATTAATCATTAGTAAAATATTAAATCAGCTTTTAGGGTCATGATGAAAACAGTCGCTCGCCCCATGCTAATGCTGCCACCATGTTTTGCCAAAGGAAAAGGGTAGAGTGCCTTCTCCGTGTTGGGGAGGATGTACTGCCCCTAGTGGAGGAGTTTAAGTATCTTGGGGTCTTGTTCACGAATGAGGGGAGGATGAAGCAGAAGATCAATAGGCGGATTGGTGCGGCGTCTGCTGTGAAGCGTGCACTGTACCGGTCTGTTGTGGTGAAGAGAGAGCTGAGCCAAAAAGCAAAGCTCTCGATTTACCGATCGATCTACGTTCCTACCCTCATCTTTGGTCATGAGCTTTGGGTCATGACCGAAAGAATGAGATCCCAGAAATGAAATGAGTTTCTCTGACTGAGGAGCTCAGTTATCCGGGGAGGACTCAGAGTAGAGCCGCTGCTCCTCAACATTGAGAGGAGCCTATTGAGGTTGCTCGGGCATCTCATTAGGATGCCTCCTGGACGTCTTCCTGGTGAGGTGTTCCAGGCACCTCCCACCGGGAGGAGGCGCAGGGGGAGACCCGGGACATGCTGGAGGGACTAAGTTTCTCGGCTGGCCTGTGAGCGCCCTGGGATTCCCCCGGAGGAGCAGGCACGAGTGGCTGCGGAGAGGGACACCTGGGCCTCCCTACTAAAGCTGCTACTCCCGTGACCTGATCCTGGTTAAGTGGAAGAAGATGGATGGATGGATGGATGGATGGATGGATGGATGGATGGATGGATGGATGGATGGATGGATGGATGGATGGATGGATGGATGGATNATGGATGGATGGATGGATGGATGGATGGATGGATGGATGGATGGATGGATGGATGGATGGATGGATGGATGGATGGATGGATGGATGGACAAGGTGTGGAAGAGGATATGCATTGCTATTTACCTCAGATATAGCCTTTTGCACAGAAGGCTGAGAATTTCATCACATTTTTTAAGAAAAAAGTACAAACACCATAGAAATGATAAAGTGAAAATTGATGTTACAAGTTTAGGGTAAGTTTGATGCGTAAGGCAGCTATTTTAATGCAAAAGGAAATGATAGGTGCAAATGGGAGAGTCAGAAAACAAGAATGGGTCAGAAAATTTGACACAAGAGAAAATTCAGTAATTTATTGAGAAAATAATTATTTAAAATGGGGGTTTTCTGAAGGAGAAAAGCTAAGAAATGAAGCCAAGCCAGACTGACCAAACTTAAAAATTGAGCCACTACAAGGTGGAGTTTATTTTTTTTTTTGTCACAATCGCCCACCCACAGACCTCCACCCCCTCCTTTCAATGTTTTTCTTTTTCATCTAAACCAAACATCACTGCTTTTAGAGAAATGCTGTTCTGTTTGTGCTGATGCATGCAAGTCTTGAAAACACAGGGGCACAAACTTGCATTTTAAACTAAACCAAAGGTGGAAGTGTCATGTGGTAATGTTTGCTTCTAAATGGAACAGTAATTTTTTTTCTCTACATTATAGCTATTTTCGTCATTAGATAATCGAAACATAAAATGTATACATTTATTAAAAGAACTTAAAGTTGTAAAGAATTTTGTTGGTTTTTTTTTCAAAATATTTTTCCATTATTCAAATGTAATAATGCATTTGTTATGCAGTCTTACTGAACTAATATTAAACAAGTTCCTATATTCCTTACCACAAAAAAAGAATGAGAAGTTCTTCCACAGCTCAGTTTGACACATTCTTTTAACACTTTTGCCTACAGCCATTTTGTAAATGTTCTTTATGCTTGTTTTTAGTGATATGTATGTCTGACAGCAGGCAGCAGAATGCATGCTGAGAAGAGATGTGATAGCTTAGATAATATGCTTTGCAACTCTGCTTCAATTTTGATCCTCGCACACACAATCACATTCGCACACCTGGATGAATACAAAACACACTTACACAGCGGCCAACACAACAGGAAGTGCACACAGAACAATGTCCAACCAGAGCTGCAGAAAGGTATCGAAAGGGAAAATATAACCTCCCTTCCAGAGAAAAGTATCTCACACTGGGTTTAAGAATAGGTTGGTGTTATTTACTCAGTCATTTGTGTCTTTAAAGTGTTTTTACACAGCAGAGCTACATGGTAGTTACACACTACCCCCCAAAAAATGTGTGTTTTTTCTCTTTCTGTGCTCTTGGTGAATGTCTGGACATGTGTGTTATATTGTGTTTGTGTTAACAAAACTGCAATTGTCATCCCAGTGGGTGACTCGTTGGCCCCCTCAGGACTGAGCCTTGGTGTATGTAGCTATTACACGGCATGGTGGCTTTGGCCTTGGGGTGTGAGCCTGCTTTAATACAAGGCACAGATGGGTTGCACCGTTGGTCTGCCGTTGTACTCCACCATCAGCTGCTAGTTTAGGCTCTTGTACCTCAAAGCGCATAAGGTCAACTGGCCTTAGGATACCGATTTGTTATCTATTTGATCAACTCTAGGTAGTTGTTTGAGTGATTCTCAACTGTCTGCTCATCACTTTCCATCACCATGTCTCTTGTTCAACCATTCTCCCTCTCTTTCTCTCTCTTTCCATGTCACAGCAGAAGCTACAGTACATGGGGGTATTTGGCACACATAGACTTGTGGCTTCATTGGAAAGGAATGTGTTTAGTTTTGTGGAGTTTTGAAAACTGGCCAATGACAGACAAAATTGTGCCATGGCGACAGAAAATTGTGGATGAAAAACTTGCAAATGCAAAAGCCAAAGTTACAGGAAAAATAAACGTACAGACGCATTGCGTTTTGAGACGGTAGTTATGTCTGTAAAAGGAAGATGACAGGACAGAAGCAAGGTCATTTACTTTGAAAAAGTCCATGGCAAATTTTCCAATGTCATATGCAAGTTTAATTATTTTAAAATTCCATCACCAAATATAATCATCTGTTCAGAGTAACCAGCGGAAAACAGTTTTTATTAAAATGGAAAGCACTCCTGCTATGTCATTGGAAAAAGAATGGAAAGTATGCAACATTATTTCCTATTAAATACTATAACCCTGCCAATAATTAGACCTTGTCAGCAAGGGTTAGCTTTATTACTTCCAAATAATGAATTTGCAATGAACATGTGACTAAATAAAACGATTAATAAGACATCTGATTTTACAAAAGCAGAAGAAATCTTAAGAAAAAACAGTCCAAATTCAACAAAATCTGCTGAAACTACAAACTCTCATGGATTTTCCCCCGTTATGTATTAGTAGAGACATCTTTATTCACATTACCTTCATATAATCAATGACAGGGTTTTCACAGGTTTCCACTTTCTCAGAATTGTCTTTGATAAGCATTATTGTTTTTAGGTTGGATAGATCTTTAAATTCCTCTCCATTCTTAAACATCCAGATAATTTGTAAGTAAAATTAATTTTTATTTTTTTTATGCTGTTTCTGAGAGGGGGATATAAATAATTCTGTACATTATTTTAATCATTAAAATACAATGATGTGATAACTTTACATTTTAAGTAATTATAAATCATTTGATGGACCTTTTTTTTCTACAGTAGACTATGTTGTTAATATTCACCACAAGCTTCATGTTCTTTATTAAGATTAT